GGTACTTCTCCTTCCTACTTCTATGCCTCCACATTAGTTTGTACATCTGGGTTGTTCTGAGGCTATTTCTTTTCTTCCCTAAACCTATCATGTTGGCCTAGAGTCAGAACAGCAGCTCTTGTTGGAGTTGTGGCTTTCAGGTTGAGGTTTCTATTTTCTGTCCCGATTCTGGGTTATCTATTTTGCTCTAGTATTGTGAAACCTGGATAGTACTTGCAAATAGACATCTCTAAACCATTTTCTGGATTGTAAGGAAAGAATTTGAAAGCAACAGAGAATTCTAATGCTTACATGCTTATAGCAAGTTTCACCTATATCTAAGCTCAGTGTGCAGTCTACACACTGTAGAGTTGAGTGCTAAGTATACCAGTCAGGTGGTCCTAAGACATATGCTGGCTTTCTGAGATACCAGAAGGATGGAAGAGGTAGACTTCTAGGTCATGTTAATTTGGAAGTGACTCTTTGGTACAAAGGATCTACAGCCAAGATGTCGTTTTGTTTAACCTGGCATTGTATAAACTTATTTGAGCATAGAATCCCCTTTTTAAATAAAATTTTCAGCATATTTTGGAAATACTGGTGGAAAGAAAGCAGACACCAGTTCCCGTTCTGCCTGAGACATTAATAACATTTTGACTCACTCAGCAAATACATATCGAGTGACTATTTTGTGCTCTGTACCATTTAAGGTGCTGGCAGTACATTCACAAGCACACAGCTTATATTGGGGGTGGGGATGCCATAAACATATCTTAACATTACAAGGTGATGAGTGTTTCACACAACAGAGAAAGTTGTCTGAGAGGATGGGGCAGCAATTTTAAATATGAATATAACCTCTAACAGCTCACTGAGCCTCTTTGTCTCTAATTTATAAAAAGAAGAAATTTGGAAAAATGACCTGGGCTCCTCTGGTCCCTGTCTGGTTCAACTTCAACCCCAAGAGCTGCTATATCTCACTGTGGCACTGCTGATTCAAAAATGTCTTACTAAGCATTTACAATGCAAAAAAGGTTGGGTATTAATGATCATATAATTGCTGCCAAAGAAGAGCACTGCCATTTAAGTCTTCTGTAATATCCACAAAACAAAATACTTAATTAAACAAAATAGCCTTACTGGTTTTGTTTTAATCTAGCATATACTTTGATCCAATATGAAGCAGAAAGTATTTGACTTAACAGTGAAGCACCTCTGCAGTGTAGGTACCCACTTCTGTTAAGCAGATGTCACTGTGCACTTGTATGACAGTCTTAGCAGTGTGTGTGTGTGCACTTCTGCCCTAGATCCTTGAGGTGACTGATGTTGAAATGACCTTTCGACAGTACTCTATTGCTACATGCCTGAGCCTGTATGTCAGTAATTAGAAGCCTTGACTTAAACGCCACGGTATACAGTGCCTATGTTAATTATAAATGTCTGAAAGTCTCCTGGAACTTTTTCTTTGTAGCTTTTTATCGAAGACTGACTGTAGTTGGAGAGGAAGGCTGTGGATTATGGACCTAAGCCTTTGATGATTAGTCTCTTGTTTTTTGGAATGAAAATTAATAACTACTTTGCCAACTATCTAGATATAGTGATACATTTCTATACCCTTCATCCTAAATGAGAAACTGAAATTACACAATGTTTACTGTTTTCTAAATAGTATTTCATTCTCAAGGTAGAAATTAGATGCAGTTTATTTGTATAAGTATCTAAGTATGCCCTCAGGTATGAAATGGCCATACAGAATAGCACTTAGGTCTACAGCTGGCAAGTCTGTGTAGTACCTTAACCCCTGAGCAGGACAACTGACATGCTGGAAAAGGCAGGTTGTATATGATAGTTAGAGCAGGTGAGGAACAAAGGACTAAACTGGGAGGATCCGGGGAAGGCCATATCTGGGGTGTGTCTGAGACCTTCTCGAATTGCAGTAGAACTGACAATATGCAACATTCTGCTTGTAACATAGGGATCTTGTCCCATTGTTTATCTAGATGACCTTTTATTTTCATTTTCCTAAGAAGCAGTCTTCAAACTTATGGTACACAGGAGGTAGTGGAGTGTGGGGAGGATGTGTACTGTCTTACATGGGCTTCGGATCTGCCTTGAGGACTGGGCTAACTACCATGGGAAATCAGTTCTGAGGCCTAATTTAGAAGCAATCTTGCAAAAACATCCCTTGGTGAGAAAGGAACTTCTCAATTTTAATTTTAAGTATTTTAAGCTTTTCCTCTAGTCAGGGGAATGTCTTTAAGGACTCATGATCTATTTGGAACTTTTAGCTGAATACCTTAAGCTTTGTAACTTCCAGTTAAAGAAAGAAAAGGAAATAAATGTGCATAAGCCATATTTAAAGAATATTTACCCATTCGTGGCTCATATGTTCTTGCTCATCTTTTCTGCTCTTTAGTTTTTCTCATCGGAAGTTATAGGACTGAAATAAGGACTCAAATAAAGTAAAATGGCTCCTTTCATTTGAAAAAGATACTATATTTCTTTATAAACATAACATTGTCTAGATTCTATAGAAGTCAATGGACTGAATTCTAGCCTCTCTTTAAAGGCATCAACTTGGCTGTTTCTAACCCATAGTTTCTGTATGGCCTTTAGCTTTTCAGTATGGGCAATTCATTGCTGAGACTGTGCATTGTAGTGCAGCATGAATTCTAATTGTTCTTAATAATAAAATCTCAGAGACAGATAATGGGGTTAAAACTGAAGATGAGAAAAGCAAAGCAGTCAACCACTAGAGGGTTCTCACTTCTACCAATGCTCAGACCAAAGGAGCAATCCTGTCCTCTGATTGCATCTCCAGACTGCACTGCTCCTCAGACTCATGGAGACTGCCTTGAGCTGCTGTCTTCTCCCCTTTATATTCCTGTCTCTGCCCAGCGATAAGGCTTCCTGTCTCTACCTCCTTAATTCTGGGATTAAAGGTGTGTCACTCCAAATGCTGGTATGACCTTTGTGTGAGCTCTGTTTCTTTTACACTGGATCAATTTTCTGTATCTCAGGGTGGCCTTGAACTATCAGAGATCTATCTGCCTGTGTGCACCACCACTGCCTGGCCTCTAACCATCTTGAAGAATTTAGAGACCTTTGGACAAATAAGTATCCAAAGAATCAGGTTCTGCAAACTGAAATCAAGAGTTAGGATTGACAGTAGATACAAGTTAAGATTCATGGTTGAGGAGGATTTCATTCAGAGGTCCAGACCTTTTCGAACCTTCTCACTTCCTGTCCGAGGCCTTAGGGGGGAGGCATTGGGCTGTGGTGCTTCTCTGTCAACAGGACCCTGCTCCTCTCATGGAAAAGAAATAAACAAACACTGTATCAGTGTGTGCATACACTAGCACAAAAGTGAGATTTATGTACTCCAATGTTCAGTAATAGCATCATTTTAGCTCTTGCATTCCCCAGAAATAAAGGATTGAGATGGTGTATGTATACCAACTAGGGATGGCATTTGTACACCTGCTAAGTAAGCTTGATAAATACCTACAACAATAATAAAGTAAGACAGGTTCACAAAGGTAATGCATTTTAGAACTAATAGAAATATAAGGGAGAGTAACTGTAGTGCTTCCCCCTCCCCCAGAGATATTTCTTGAGTAATAGTAAGTGGACACTTAGTTCTTCAGGAATTGGGACTAATTTAAAATAAAAAGGCAAAGATCACTGAAACTGTTGGATAATAGAAGCTGTTTGGATTATCTGGTGCTCAACAACCTTTCTAGTTCTATCTTTTGAAACTACTTAGACTTGTTTTCCCATGACTTATTTCTTCATGTTCTCATTCCTTGAGCAGTTATTTATTACATGACCAGCATTGCCACACAGCAAACATTAGTCCATTCTTCGCTTTCTTTCCTTTTTCTGAGAGTTGGAGATGATGACTCCAAGACCACCTTAGCTTGAGCTTTGCTATATGGCTTGAGTCAGGGGTGTCCACTGCACAGACAGGGATGACACAGAGATGCATTCACTAGCACATCTGTGACCGTGCCATGTGTGTAGTTAACTCTGCTTTGTGCTCTTTCAGTAACAGAAAGGACATAGTTTTGAACAGAATTGGTATTGCAAAGCATGATGTCCCTTCCTACTTGTCTGCTATGTTACTAAAATCCAGTGGGTTTCGGGGCTAGAGTGTTGGTTTATGTTTCACATACCTACATATCCTTTTTTGTAACTATCACTTAACACAGTGGCAGCCCCTGTAAACCAAAGAGAAGACAAGCTTTCAGGTGCTGAGAAAGAAGGAGTAACTGACAGAAGACATAAGTTTGCTGAGCTCCTGCTATACACAGAAGTGTATCTGATTCAGACCCTGGGCATCAACAGGAACCCTTGCTCATAGGCACTCTGTTCTCAAATAGCAAGAACTTGAGCAAGGCCTCAGAAGAATCACCTGGCCAGATGTCTAGAATTCTAACACCTGGGAGAGTAGCAGCAGGACGAGGAGGAGTTCAAGGCCTGCCTCAACTTACATGATTTGAAGACCAGTCTGGCAACATGAGACCCTGTCCCAAAAGCAAATAGAAAGAACACCATGTGTGCGCATTTCAAAGTGTTGGCCCAGGGCTCAGCTCAGGCAGGACTTGCAGTATGTCTTCTATGACCCTGTTGTATAAACATGAGATTGAATGTGGGAATCATGGGATATCAAGACACACCCCAAGCTGCACTTTTGCCTTGTGTTGAGAGTTACAATTCCTCAAAAGTACTAGTCAAAAAAAGTAAGAATATTAAGACAGCAAAAGATTGGATTGTGAAATATACCTCAGAGACCATTATATCATCTAGAAGCTGTTCAGCAGGACTCATATCTGAACAGGAGTGATTACCCACACTTAAGGATAGAAATGAAGCAAGGTTGTGATGAGTTATGGGCATGTTTGTCAGGTTGCTTGAACTATTTGGTCATTAAATGCTATGAAGATGGATGATTCAGTTGAACAACCAGTGAGGCAGAACTTCATAAGCACTGAAGTGTTTCTCTCTTTCCCACCTTTTAGCTTGTCAAAATTCCCAAAAATGATCCCCTCAGTGAAGTCCACAACTTTAACTTCTACCTGTCAAACGTGGGGAAGGATAACCCTCAGGGCAGCTTTGACTGCATCCAGCAAACACTCTCCAGGTGAGTACTGCCCAGGATGTGCTGAAGGGGGAGTTTCCCAGTTCAGAGTGCTTGCTTTTAATTAACAAAATGCTTATTAGCTAGTCCCTCAATGTTTATTGAGTTTAATTACACAGCTCATTTATTTAAACATATTAACCACCTATCATATACTAGAAATTGTGTGTGTATCACTGGAGTATAATCACAAACGTTGCAGAATTCAAAAATATTATTAAAATGAGTTCTTAAATTAAAATCAGTTTTGAAGATTTTTTTTTTATAAAATCTGCATTGTATTTAAGTAATGGTGTCTTACGTTGTACCCAAGGCTTTCTATAAAGGTAAGGAGAAAAAAGATATGTATCCTGCATGCCTCTGCTCTATCAAGTCTTGCCTTAGGGGGAACTTCTTTTAGTTCACAGCCTGCTGGATACTAGACATTAATTCCAACAAAGATGTAAGAAAAAATTAAAGTAAAAGAAGGGCAAAAGACTAGCTATACCTCCCCTGTGCATGATTCCCTCACCTACATTGACTAAGGTAACTATGAGCCATTTGCTTGCTTTGTTATTGTTGTTTGTGGTAAAGTGGGAACCCCTGAGCAGGAGTTTATTCTGCCCTGGATGAAGATGGCAGGTTCTGAGTATCAGTCCCCCAGTGTAAGACTTTGACATTGGAGCACAGTACTAGCACCAGTCCATGTTTGTGCCTCATCTACATAGTACGTGAATATGTAAGAACCGATGTGAGAAGCAAAGCTAAAACAGAAAACAAAGACACCGTCATGAAAGTTCCAAGTTGTTCTTTCCATGTGGCTTAACCTGCCCGAGTCTATATTGGTATTGCTTTAAAATAACCACTACAACTTTGGTATGAACTGCATGTGTTACAGGTTTTATAGCCTTTTATGTTCCGTTCATTTCTGTACCTGCTGGCTACATGTGGTTGTGATATTCAGTTGTTCAAAATTACATAAAACTTAAAATTTCATTGTTTACTCACACCGACATTTTCCAGTCTCAGAACTCAAATGTGGTTACCACAGTTACACCACAGATACAGGATATTTCTACCATTGCAGGAAGTTCCTGGATAGCACTGCAATAGACTGTAGAATCACCAACTCTCGGGGGTCTTCATTTATCCATAGTTATGTAACTATCTTAGCTTGTGGCTGGGCTAAAAAAGAATTGAGTCCTGCAAACATCTAGTCCAGGGTTCCTTATGCAGCAGAGGCACACCAATGTCTGGTATGGTGCTTGATTATACGATTATATACTTTTGTTTTCAGGGCATTAAATTTCAGCTTATGCCTATCAATTTATAAAGTATCCTGAGTTTTACTGAAAGGCATTTATGGAACCCTGTTCCCTGAGGAATCTTATGAAAAATTTGTTCTTCCTTCAAAATGATATCACATCATAATCCCATGTTATACCATAAAAGTAATGGATATTTGGCTCAGTGGGTGAAAGTGCTGTCAGCAAGCCTGACAATCTAGCTTGATCTCTAAGTCCCTCCTGGTAGGAGAGAAGTGACTTCCGGAAGTTCTTCTCTGACTTACACACCCACATGTGCACATGTATACACACAATAAAAAATTTAGTGCAAAAACATATTTAAATAAGTAATATGGTTTTATCCTTTTATAATATATACATGGTGTATTTATTTGTATTGTACTTAAAGAAAACTTTAAGGTTAGTTATATCCAAAATTGTTCATAATGCAGCAAGAAAACAGAAACAGAAAAGTTTGTGAGAAAATTCAGACATTATTAGTGTCTTTTTCTGACAGAAAACAAAAACTTTTAGTTCTCAGCTGGGTGTGGTGGCTCACACCTTTAATCTCCTCACTTGGTAGCAGAGGCAGGCTGATCTCTTTGAGTTCCAGGACAGCCAGGGCTATATAGAGAAAACCTGTCTCAAAAAAAAAAAAAAAAAAAAAAAAAAAAAAAAAAGAAAAGAAAAAAAAAACTTAATTCTCATTCTGATAGATAAGTTTCCTGTTATGTCTCCATCCTTTCTAGTCATGACTCTTAGAGTAGTATAGTGCCATGTCTTCAAAGGCCCGGGCTTTCTGAGCACAGGCTGGACTCTACATAGAAGGTCAATAAATGGATATTCAGCAAATATTAACTGGTCTCCTCTGATATCTCTCTACACCTTCAAAACTTTTCTCACACATAAAATGGAAGAAATCTCGTCAAAATTACCTTTCAAAGATTCTTAAATATACTTATGCACAAGCTTATTGATAATGATGCTTACTCGAGTGTGGGAAACAGTGATCTAGGCCACAGAGAAACAGAGGGAACAATTGTACCAGCAAGCTGAAATCTTCCCAGTAACAAAGCTGAAAGGCACAAGTAAAGAATTCTATGAGAGAAGCTTCCGAACTCCACAGGGGAGCACAGCTTACCATCACGACTGACATGAGTTCAGTTTATTCTCACCGTGTATGTTCCTTAGTAAGAAATATAGAGAGATGCTAAAACTCAGACTCCCTGACACCAGACCATCACTTAATTAATTAAGTCATTTTTTTCTCTCTCTTTTGGGGTGTTAAACCTTCTTCCTGGTCCTTTTTGATTGGTTTATCAGTATTCAAAGATACTCAAGCCTACCTTATTAAAAAAAAAAAAAAAGTAGACAAGAAGCAAAACTAACTTTCCTGCATTTTTCCACCCGAAGTATGGTCTCTACCCCCACCATTTCACTGTAACTGCTCCCTCAATTGGTCCCTAAAGTCAGTCCATACTTGTAGATGCTTTATAATTCTCATCTTTGGCCACTTTACACCACATACCACACTCTGCTTTGTGAAACACTGTTGTAGTGGCTTCCACAGGGCATAATACTCCCTGCATCTCTTCAGTGCCATTCTTTTCTTTGTTTGTGTTAATTACTGTCCTCATAAGACTCTTCTTGTTCCTTCAAAGTCTTCAACCCTATCCCTTAACCTGCCCTTTTTTTTTAATTCAGTAAGTGGGTCCATATGGCTAGTAACTGAAACACTATCTTGATTTTGCCCTTCTCTCTCTTCCTCCCTCCCATGTCTAATCATTGTTCAAATCCCATCAATCCTGCCTCCTCCACATCTCTGAATACTATGCTCTCAGTTGAAAGACCACTTACCTGTGTCTAATCCTTTAGTGGACCTAACTGGTCTTCCTGTGTCTAATCTTTTAGTGGACCTAACTGTTCTCCCATTGTTCACTCTTGCATTCCCCTTCTTCCTTGCCTATTTTCTATCTATATTGATTTTCCTACAACACAGTTATTTCTCTGTTTTCAGCCTCTTATTCTCTTCCAAATCCATAGCATGGCTCCAAAGCCCTTCACGATATACTTTTCATTCTATCTTCAACTTCATATCTATTTGCCCTTTCTGGCTGTCTTTGACTGAACGAGCATCGTGTTCACTCTGGGCCTGCACAAGTTGATTATCTCTCTGGGGTACTTTTATCCATCTTCCTTCTTGGTTGGTCAACATTATAATCTGCTCAGATATCACTTCTTCTAGAAAGGCCAAGCGAAGTATCCTTCCCAGATATTCCCTTTTCTTGCCATTTGTCTACTTTGCCCATCTTTGTCACCCATTAGAGAAGTAGCTCCCTGAAGGAGGGACCACTTCTGCCTTATCCTTGTCCTGGGTTTTGTCCTGCCCAATATTTATGAGATGAATTAACTATTTTTTTAAGAACAACATTTTTAAAGCCAGTTACGAAGGAAATTTGCAAAATTTTAATCAACTTTTTAGTGTCGTAATAAAGTTATTTCCAATTCAGTTTGGAAATAGGAGCAAGAGTGCTAATTCCCATTACATATTTTCCTATTTGCTTTAAGGCTATTTAGTATTTTCTTTTAAAATTTAGTTGAGATTTTACCATGATCTCTAAAAAATAAGAACATAAACATTTTAAATAATCACAACATTTAAAAATTAATATTCATGATTTTAGGATTGCAAAGTTATTCAAGCTGCTCCTTGTTTCTTTAAAAGCAAGGCCATTTCAGAGTCAGTGTTAATATCCAGGTGCTTCAGTGTTTTATTTTATTTTTTGTTTTTATGTTTCAGAAAAAAACACTTGCCCCAAATTTTTCAGTATTTGCTATGTAGAGATTTAAGGAAGTGGTAAATACAGATTCTACATATTTTAGCTCTACTATTAATATGTTATTGGAAATAAAATAATGGACAACATCTTACATTGTCTTTTCTAAAGCATGTTCATTTTGTTTTCTCTCTAAAAAGTAAGGTTTTAAGAAGTGTTTCTCGTGTCTGTGGCAAGAAACTTTATTGACTATTAAGTGAAAGTAGAACTACACAATTTTTAAAAGTTTTATTTGGTCTCCAGGAGCTCATTTTACCCATTCTGTTCAGAATGTAAATAATAAAACAAATATTTTAAATAATCCTATTTTAAAATTAGTATCAGCTATTTTAGGATTCCTAACTTATTTAAGCTACTGGTTTAGGATACTAAAATTCTTGGTTGCCTTAATTGTGAAAATGATAGCCATCTCTAACACAGCCACTATCTCACTTGACAGCTCTGGAGCCTCCCAGCTCAATTGCCTGGGATTTATACAAGATAAAATTACAGTGTGTGCAACAAATGACTCCTATCAGATGACACGGGAAAGAATGACCCAGGCAGAGGAGGAATCCCGTAATCGAAGCACCAAAGTTATCAAACCCGGGGGACCATATGTAGGTTTGTATGGACATATTTCTCCTTCATACTGGTTGATTGGACTAATTCAAGATGACTGTAGGTAAATACTGGTAAAAACTAAGAATGAAAACACAGACATTAATTTTCAGAACATAAAAAAGTCATTTTTTTCTTTTCAGGCTGCTGGTAAATTGAAGAACATTTATGACTTTTATAATTCTTGAACCTTCTATTGGCTGCTTATTATTATTTCACCATTCTGGGGTCTGGTCATGATACTACATGAGGTTGTAACTGTGGTCTTTTTGTTTTCTTTGTCATTGGATGATATAAGTTCAATGATAGGCAGTGTGATTTGTACTTTTATAGAGCTATTTTTATAATCAAAATCTATTGAACAAAATTAAGTTGATAACCTCCTTGTTACAACTTTTTGCTTGGGTTTTCAGAGGATTATTATACAATATTGAATTTTTATTGTAAAAGGATAAGATGTACTATGGCAGACTATCATAGCCAGCAACAGGAGGATGATTCTCAAGTCACAATTATGGCCATCATCTACCCACTAATTAAGACTCTACCTCACTCCCATTGTCTTTATCATCAACTCAAGCAAATATGCATCAGATGGAAGGGAAGTAAGACCAGATCAGCAAGGTGATGTCTCTTTTGTGAGCAGTGTCCTGAACAACTTAATAAGTCAGTCACAATGATTAGCAAGGACAGAATGATAGAGTGAAGATGAGCTGTTCAGTTTTGTAACTCAAATCACCATAGTGTAAATGATGAACATATATTATTTTGAAATGTAAATGTTTCCAAAACCAGTTTCTTATAAACCCAAATCCCGTAACCAACACCTCTCCAGGTTTGGTGTGTCTCTGTTGTAGTTTTGTGTCATTGATCCAGCTATGCCATATTCAACTTTGAGAGGCTCCACCAAGGCCTTTAATAAGTGTCTTTGGAACAAAGCCAATGCTACTGGGACTTGGTGCTCAGCTTAGATACACTTAGTTTGGTTTAACAACAATTCCTGGCTTCCCCAGGCATCTATACCCATAGGACTCCGTACCCGACTAGTAAGTTACCCACAATGAGATTTCTCATCTTCTCCTTCCTGTGGCGAGAAGGAACAATTCTCAGCCTTCTTTCTTCTCCTTTATCCTTATTAAATAACTTAATTGGCTGTCTGTACTAATAGTCCAACATCTTAAATCTATAAGATCTTCCTCCATTTAACATTTTAACTTTAAAATGTGAATTATCTGTCATTTTTTAAGTGTTGTTTTAATATAATACCATCATTTTATAAACAATGAAATAGTTACTGGAGGGACTCAAATTATCAAAAATGATTTTTCCTTAATATAACTATCTGGGAACTCTTACCTGTGTTTATTCTAAAGTTTGCAAATCAGCAAAGACTACTATACCTTTCCTGCAATTTGTACTTAAATGTCCCCTGTATTCGGGATGAATTTTGTCTCAGTCATGTGGGAACTACACAGTTTACACAGCTAACTTACAAGGTGACTGGCTGGCTGGCTTACTTGCTTTAGGGAATCTCACTCCATAGTCCATGGCATTCTGAAGTTCACTGTGTCAAACAGGCTGGCTTCAAGTTTGCAACCCTCCAGCCTCAGGCCTCTCAAGAGCTAGGCTTACAGACATGAACCCCAATATCCAGTTCATATGACAAACATGTCAACATCTGGAATCCCTCCAATAATGTACTTTCTGATGGTAGCAGGAATTTTAGAGCTTTACGTTTTCTTATAGGGATTATAATTTACATATACTTTAGGGATAACCTATCTTATCAAACCTAAACTTATCAAAGTTTAAATCTGAACAAGATGCTATCTCTCTCATCTCATCAGAGCCCTGTAGTTATCTCTGCCATCCAGTGTGTCTTCTTTATTCTTTTTCTCCCTGTTTTGTCCTCAGTTCCTTGACCACTTAACTATCACTATACTGTACTCTTCTCTGATCTTAAATCTTGTCATTAACATCCTCGGTCATTTTCTCTGGGTCACATAACCCACACTCCTTTTAATTTTCCTTAATATGGCCTGTGTCACAACCTTTTAGTTATTTGTATTATAATATCTGGACTGCCTTCAGTTCCTCACCTCAGATTAAGGAAACAAATAGTATTGTTAATCAAAGCCAGATCAACCCTGAAGACCCTAGGCTCCCTTTGAACTTTGTGTTGTTCCCTTTAAGTTTTACTCTACCCGGATATGTTGCATTTGAGCTTCTTATCATCTGTTCTTTACAACTTGATCCTTTCCTGCTGGGGAGATCAATTTGTATTTTCCTACTTTTTATAATACCTGGCTCATTTAGTTGTTTAAAATGTTAGTCAATCAGCCTGTGCTATTAAAATTACCCAGTACTTATTGGGTGCTCATTATATACAAGTTATATATTACTTTGTATGTAGTTCCTCATCTAAATCTCTTGTCTACTCCATGAAGTAGGTTATGATTATCTCACCATTTTGCACATCAGATTGTTGGGCTCATAAATAAATAATGATGATAAAGGCATGTCCTCATGAACATGTATTCTTGTTCTTAAATAGCAGGAGTTACTCACTTAGCTTATAACTGAGTGTGCTGTGTAAAATGACACCAGACGCTCACCTATGCCAGCCTAGGTACCTGCAGAACAAGGTTCCTTTCAGTGGTGTGAGTCTGGGTGGAGGCAGCTGAGAGTCATGCTGGTCCTGCTGTGGTGTGGTGTGGCACAGTGCCAGGCTGGGCCTTTGCCAGCTGAGCTAGGGCCACAAGCCAAGCTTAAGGGAGGAAGTTTGCACTGCCAGGAGCCTTGGGGTCACCTGGCCTAGTTTGCTGGGTTGTGTGCTTCTGAAGCTCTCCTGTGGGGAACAGAGCAAAACCTGCTTGACTGGAGAGCACCCAGGGATGTTTTTACTTAGACAATGTGATGGCAACTTGTTAGTAACATTCCACTTCTGCTCTTGATGTTTGCATCAGTAGTGAACATTGTCATGTTCTTCATAAGGAAAAGTCACTAGTCCCCAACGCTTTGTTCCCTAATATGCTAAGTTCACCTCTTGACTCCTACCTAAATTCTGGGATTTCTTTGACCTGCAAATCTTTGTATAGTATAGATTGATACTTATGCAACCATATAAAATTAACCCAGCAGATCTAATATCTATGATTTTCTTCCAGTTTTTCCACTCTCTTATTTTTGATGAGTTAGCATATATCTGAGTGATGGAACTAGTCACTGACTACCTAAATCTCTCAGGTACTAGATAAGGAGTATTTGAACTAGAGAACATCTAAGATCTATTATAGTTCTAACTGTGTGTGTGTGTGTGTGTGTGTGTGTGTGTGTGTGTGTGTATGTGTGCTGAAACTTTGTAAAGTCCCATAGGTGCCAGATGGTACCAGCAGAGGCTGTTGTATAGATTACATATTTAACCAGAGTCCAAGTCATCCTTCCTATCCTGCATATGCTGTCTGCAACCTTGGGTCTCTGTTGCTAACCGTGCTAGCCAGTTTCCATCAAGCAGAAAAACAACTACAGAAGATGGCTACATTTTCCTTTCACATTGTTAACTCGGAGCCATTGGCTGAAGGATAAATAATTTTACCATCTAGTATTAAATGGAGAAACTAGAGATGGACTCGTAATTAAATGTAACAGTGACTCAGATATAGTCCCAGATTAGCCAACTCTGTTGATGCCACTGCTGCTGTATTTGAAAGAGCCTGGGGAATTGATTAGCAGTTGGGTCTGGGAAGAGAATTAGGTTTTCCCACAGGCTTTATTAAAAAGGGCCTTTCTGAGGCAAATATTAAAGATAAAATAGGCCGTCCTACCTCCTTTTCTTTAGCATCACAATTCTATAAATATTTCTTTTATTTGTTTCTTCATCTATAATGTCTCTTTCCTTAGTCTTGGCATCTCTTCTGATTGAATAGGCACAAACAGTTTGGAGAGACAGAGGCAAGTGATGTTTAAATGTAATTCAGTACTAGTGTTATTGAGTTGTTCTTAAACCTTTGGAAGGAATGGTCACCCAATGACCAGACAACTGAAGGAATGGTGGTGTTGGTGCATTGGGAGCAGTTGTCAGAGGGCTCAGCACTAGGTCTCAGTAAAGACGCAGCCCTCTCCCTCATCAGAATCCATTTATCTATCCAACATCATACTCCTTTCCCCTCATTGGGGCAAAGTTAGCCTCCTTTGTTTTCCTTGTGCTTCCTTCTGGGAGGGTGAAAGGAAATGCAACAATCTCTGGGAGTATTTTGAGAGCAAGGACCTGAGGTAGATCAGGTAGACACAGTGATGAGATGAGTGACTTCTGACTGATAGCTTGGTCGGGAAGGGAGTTAAGCAGGTTCTTTTCTGCAGGAATTAGCAAGCCAGACAGAAGTGTGAATTTAGAATATTTCCTGTATTTTCATGATATTGACCCTATTTTTTCTATTGCATGGTCAAAGAACATGACATTAGTACTGTCACAGCTGAGAAATGATAGACTAAAGGGTTTGCATTACAGATTTCTGTGTGTCTTTAGACTGGCAGTCCAGCAATGTGGGAAAATACAGACTTCATTGACTCCCACCTCTCTGCTTGCTGGCTTGCTGTCATCTGCGGTCCTTAGTGCTTACTGACTCATTCTGCTGGTGGAAAGTAGCCATGGCCTTGCCCTCACAGAGCTTACAGCCCAACATGAAACAACAGGAAAGCATTAGGCATTTGTTCATAAAATCTTTCCCACGAACAGGTACAAGTGATGAGATTTGGGTGTAGCCACAGACCTTCCCACCATGCTGAATAAACACTTTACTATTTTGAGCATCTCCCACTGAAAACCCCAGATTTCTCAACTGTGAAATGGAGATAAGGCTCACCTTGAAGAAATCACTGGCATGAAGCCCTTAGCATACATAGCCTTCTCTTCACTACACCATAATTGGTGCATGATAAATATTAATCCTTTCTTATCAGATCCAGCTTTTTCTAAATTATAAAATATATAGAAAACAGCTTTAAGTCTACCTCTTAAAACTTTACATAACTAGTTTTTCTTATCCTGAGGCAATACTCCCTAGTGTTGTGTTCCTTCACTGTACAGTAATTTAATTTGAAACTTGCCATCACTATGTCTAAATTGCAAAGAAGTATGCCAGCTGACAGAAGTTTCCCAGAAATGAGATAGAATGATATTTAAGTTTTCTCTGGGTCCAGCCTGGACAGAAATATTAATAAGCAGACTTCCCAAAGCTGATTTATCTCTAGACCCAGTTCATAAGAACTGCTTTTACTTAGCTATCGAATCTACTTTTTAGTCTTACTCCTAGTGCAGTCGCTCCATTTGGTGCATCATTGCCAGTTTTCCCCTTTCCTTCACCTGAGGGAACAGAGTTGGACATAATACATAGTAAATAAGCTAAGAGATTCTACTTCAGAAACTATAAAAAGAGGTTGTATGCTGCTTTCTGTTCTTTACCAAAGAACAGTTGCTAAACGCTATGGGATGCTCTTCTGGATGGATTTGAATAGAGAGTGTACTCTGGTCAATCCTGACACAAATTTTCTAGAAGTTGCCATTTGGCCAACTGTCAGTCTTCTGCCTAAGCAGAAAGTGTTACTGACACAGATGACACTGCCCAGAGGGAGTGATGTGTCTTCTTGTACCATTTTCCATACATCTATCTGACTTGCCTGTGTAATTTATAAAGACAGATCTATTTGTCTTCTGAGAGTGTGTTTAGTGAGTTGATTGGCTTGATTTTACTTGTAAAATGTGTTATTGCTACTAAAAAGGACCATCTCCAGTGGTTGCCAAGTAGATGTTCACTGTTCCTTGTGATGTCTGTGTCTATAGATTTATGACAGTTCTGCCCTGAGTTAGTCAACTGTGTTTTCTTATGAAGTCTGACATGTATTTCTCTATGTTATTGTGAGGCGATGTTCCCTTGGTATGTGAGCTCCTGTTTCTACTCCTTTTTTTCTTTTTTTTTAATTTGAATTAGAAACAAGATTGTTTTACATGTCAGTCCCAGTTCCTACTCCCTCCCATCCTCCCCCACCACTCCCTTCACAACTAACACCCTACCTATCACATATTCTTTCTGCTCCCCAGGAAGGGTGAGGCCTTCCAAAGGGGATCATAAGTGTCTATCATATCATGTCCTTTGGGATAGGGCCTAGGCCCACCCCCATGTGTCTTGGCTCAGAGAGTATCCTTCTATGTGGATTGGGCTCCCAAGATCCACACCTAAGCTAGGGATAAGTTCTGAACTACTACAGGAGGTCCTGTAGATTTCCGAGGTTTCTTCACCAAATCCCATGTTCTGGGGTCTAAATCAGTCCCATGCTGGTTGGTATCTCAGCTATCAATCTGGGGACCAAGAGCTCCCCGATGTTCAGGTCAGCTGTCTCTGTGGGTTTCACGAGCTTGGTCTGCACCCCCTTTGCCCATCACTCATTCTTCTCTGCAATTAGATTCCAGTTCAGTTCAGTGATTAGTTGTGGGTGTCAGCTTCTACTTCCACCAGCTGCTGGATGAGGGCTATCGGGTGGTCAATAAGTCAGTCATCAATCTCATTATTAGGGGAGCGCATTTAATGTAGCCTCTCCTCTGTTGCTTAGATTGTTAGCTGGTTTCATCTGTGTATATATCTCCAGACATTTCCCTAGTGCCTGATTTCTCTGGAAACCTAAAGTGTCTCCCTCTATTATGGTATCTCCATTCTTGTTATCTTCTATTCTTCCCCTGACTCAACCTTTCTGCTCCCTCATGACCTCTGCATTCTTCCTCTTCTTCCCTTCTCATTCTCCTAGCTCCCTCCCCCCTCTTCCCATGCTCTCAATTTGCTCAGGGGATCTTGACCCTTTCCCCTTCTCCAGGGCACAATGTTTGTCTCTTTTAGGGTCCTCCTTGTTTACTACTCACTTTTTTATAAGTGATGTATTGTACACAGATTTAAGTACTGTAAAGAGACACAGGAAAGCATTGAAATTACTTTATTTCTACCTGTCACCAAATAGTCAGCAATCTAAAATTTTCTGTTAGGTTGTTTGTATCACTAATTACTGTCCATGTGTAGCTAAATGTCAAAAGTACATCTATAGTATGTATTTTAAGGAATAATCCTATTAAAAATTCCTATTCTATATTATAGGCAACTTCATCAAAATACTTTATTTCCTTAAAGTAAAAATTTAAAATGACCATTATTTCTTCTAGAAATAATAAAAAGTTATCTAGATTGGGTTATGGCAACTAAAAATGCTCATTATGTTATATATAACACAGATTTGTAACAGTGTCTTTTCTGCTTGACATTAGGGAAAAGAGTGCAAATTCGGAAAGCGCCTCAAGCCATCTCAGATGCAGTTCCTGAGAGGAAAAGGTCAACCCCCATGAACCCTGCAAACACAATTCGAAAGACACATGGTGGCAGCAGTGTTTCTCAGAGGCCATACAGGGACAGGGTCATCCACTTACTGGCGCTAAAAGCCTACAAGAAACCTGAGCTACTTGCCCGCCTGCAGAAGGATGGCGTCAATCAAAAGGACAAGAACTCTTTGGGAGCAATTCTGCAACAGGTGAGGACAACTTGAGAGAGGATCTGTGTGTGCCTTCTGGGGAGGTTCCCCTAAGAACATTTGATGGACCGTGGGTGAAGCTTAGTTGATAGAATACTTCCCCAGTATGCTTGAAGCCCTAGGCTTGATCCCTAGGACCTCACAAACAGGATATGCCTTTAACAGCACTCAGGAGGTGCAGGCAGGAGAATCCTGAACTACAGAGTCAGTTCCCACCTCTGTAGGATTGTCTTTAAAACAACAACTAAAACCTCTGCTTGATCTTGATAATATTGTAACTATTTTTGAGATAAACAAATTTCATGTATAAAAATAACTCTTTAATATTATTAGGGTAGAATATCCTGGGCTGTTTTTTGTTTTTTAAGATGAGGTCTGCCAAGTTTCTCAGGCTTGCTATGAACTCAGTTTTGGTGGTCATCCTGCCTCAGCCTCCTGAGTGCTGACAGTAGTGTTATGCACCACTATGTACAGTTTAAGCTGTCTTTTTAGAGTGTTTCATTAAAAAGTGGTTGAAATGTGAGCATTGTCCTCATTTTGCTGAAACCAGTTTTGCCCAAAATTTCATTAAGAACTGGGGAAGTTTTTGTTTGTTTTCATCTTAAGTTTTCATCTTAAACTATCACCTGCATTTCATTAGTTTATACAGGCAAAGTTGTATGATGTCCTCTGTTGGTCTTCAGTTGGTGTAAAGCACAATACTCTTGCCTAGTAAATCATTTAGAATGTGTCCTTACCTCCATATTCTTTGAAGCCCTTATTTGTATTTTTTGGCCACTGTGTATGCCAAGGTCAGTCACTTGTTCTTATTATGGGATATGAGTATTTCAAGAGTAGCTATGAGCAGTTACTTTATAATCACAAGCTACATAGGGAAGATAATGATTTCCTTTATTTATCATAATTACTTCAAGTGATAAATGTAAATTAACATTCAGATCCATGAATTCTGTCTATTTTTCCAAAAAAAGTGATGACATTTTCAAAGTCGTTCTTGAGTTTCATCATTTTTTAAAACATTTTTACGTCTATTTTTTACTAATTAGTATCTTACATTCAAAATATAGTACTAAAATGTCATGAGAGAATAAAGCCATCATCTGCAGGTTGGGATTAGCTAGTCCTTCAGTCATTTTGGGGGATCTATATGTCACACAGCCCTTAATAAAACTAAAGAGAAAGAGGAAGGGGAAATGTGTGATACAGAGACAGAGTGTGTTAGTTCAGTCTTCTGTTGGGGAGAGAGTCAGGTCGCATATCACAAAATACATGGAAAATGCATCTACAGAAAGTTTTTATTACTTCCTAAGATAGAAATTAGTTTTGTGATGTTGTAAGTATGGATAACCGTATCAAAAAATAGGTATCCTTGACCCTGAACAATTGCATGTGAGAGTGAGTCTCATATTGCTTTGAAGAATCATTGAGTATAGTTTCATCCTAGCTGTATATTGTATATATCTCAAGGATCTGTTTAAGAAGTACTTGTGCCAGATTCCACCCCACACAAACCAATGAAGCATCTGAAAGAAGGGTGTGAGCATCAATATTGTATAAAGCCCTTGAGTAACTGAGATGTTCAATATGATCTGAAAACACTAGCCTAGGGAAAACAGAGAGGCCAGTGCCACCTACCATGGTGGAAGCTCACACATTACGTGCCACGCACAGTATGGCTAGGTATTTCATCTGCAGAGGGGAGAAAACACACATATTAAGAACTTTGACTTAAGCCAGATACCTATACATTCCTTATCCTGAACATTCCTAACCGCTAATACAACTTCTGCTTCATGAAACTGATCAACACTGACATGAAAAGGAGTAGAGTAACAGAATAAACAGATTATTAAAAAATTGGTTGTTTTATCACTGACTAGGTAAGAAACATGCTAGCTAAAATGATCAGTTCTGTTTTGCCCATGCCAGTAGATATTTTTGCTGATTTGTTACTTACATTGTAATTTTCTTTGAGTACCCTGTCAATGTTATTAATTAAAATATTAAAATACTTAAATATTTACCTTTAAGTTGATATACAAATGTACAGCTTCATTTTCCTTAGAATGGACTTTTCCTAGAAAACCTTTTTTAAACAATCAAAAGAACACAGTAAACTTGAATCTTAACTTGTGGGTGCATGAGTCAAGCTCACATTCATTGATCACTCATTCCATTCATTTAGTACAGCTGGTTCTCTGTGTCAGCAGGCTCTACACCTTTGAATTCAACTAATTGAAGTCCAAAGCTTTTTAATTGTATCTATACTGAACATACATAGACTTTATTCCTTGTCATTATTCCTCAATGACATATAGCAACCTATATATAACATTTATATTTTATTGGCTGTTGTAAGTAATCTTAAGGTTATTTATAGTATATGGAAAGATACTTCAAATCTATATAATTTTGCATGTGAATACAAGGGAGACTGTGCCTGGACTATACCAGATAACATTGTAGGTGTGAGATGTCCCATGATTCCCCCACCACATGGTAATCTCTGGCCTTCTGAAGTATATCTACAAGATAGAGGGGCTGGGCAAGAGATCTACTCATAAAGGGGAGTTTTGAGAACCTCTTTCTTGGATGGTTTTCTCTTAGCTGAAATGAAAAACAAAAGAGGAGTCATCATTTCTGTAAGCCTGGTAGAAGGGATGGAGACTAAATCGCAGAAAGCATTGCAGACCAGGGGTAAGGAGATTATATTGATTTAAATGGGAGTAGCAGTGGAGTTTAAGCAAGAACATACTGTAATGTGATGTGTGCTTTGAATAAGACCACTCACTTGTATGTCAAAATGGCTTGGGGGTTGAGAATGGAAGAGAAAGACTTCTTAAATAAGTCTACTGCAGAAATCAAGGTGTAATGTGTTGGTGACCTGGTCTGGTGGAGTTGGTTTTATAGACTAGAGATACATTTTGAGCAAACCTTCCTAACATATATGAAGAAAAGAAAGGGGGCTGTGGTTGTGGGTAGGTACTGACCAGAGCAAATCAGTGGATGTTGAGTTACTGATTAGAGACGTGCAGAAAAGGGATAGGTGTAAGGGTGTAGTGAAATGTTGGTTAGACATATCCAATAGATGAATACATAAGTATTCAGAGGACATTTGGGACTGGAACCATACATTTAGGGATTGGCATACAGATTGTACATTGTAAATTTTACAGTTGAGTGAGCTCAGGAGTGAGAAGAATGAAGAAAATAGGGCAGAAGACAGTTATTGAGCACATCCGCATATAAAGGCATGATCATAGGAGTCTTAAGAAAGGCCCTGAGGGAAGGGAAGTGACCAGAAGACTGTCCATTCACAAACCTCAAAAGTGGATTGTGGTGGGGATGTAGTGTTAGTTTGTATGTTGTCAGAGAGACTAGAAAAAGAAAACCATTTTTCTGTATAATCCACCTCAAAAAATAAAAGTCTGGTTACATCTAGTATTAATTTATTTACAGAGTTGATTAGTGGTATTATTAAATCTGACAGTATTCTTGAAAAGACATAACAAGAAGTAAAATTACTGGAAAGACTATTCCCAAACTTATGGGAAGTAATACCTTTCCCTAGCCTTAAGAAGTATTTTTAGTGTGTAGGAGGGAGACTTGTTGAGATGAATGAGAAAGGAGAATGCAGGGTTAAAATGACTAAAATTCATTATGTAAAGTGTAAAACTGTCAATAAAAAATTTTTAAGTATTTTTAGTTTGGCATAAGCCCATAGATTTGTGTAGTGAGTAGATTGTTGACTGGATATTCTAGGAATTGTAGTTAAGGGGTAGGAAAAGGTTTCACTTGGGAATAAGCCCTCTAAAAGATATTGAGCACCCTTTAGTTTGTGATTTAGCTTATGGCTTAAGGGGATTTCCAAGACCTTGAATAAAAGTCCTTCAGGAAAGTTGGCAAATAAAAGAAATAAACTTGAAAAATAAAAAGCATGATTATCAAAATTGGTAGTATTTGTAGAGACACTTCATGCTGCTGGCTGAGAGGTAACTTGTTAGTGGGGCCCTGATTGTTTTCTGCTTAAATAGAAGTAACCAGGGATTTGCATTGTGACTCAGTGACACAGAAAATGGCTCAGTGGGTTTAAGTGCTTCTCTGCAACCCTGGCTTAGAGTCAGTCCTCAGAGCCCACACAGAGCTCTGAGAAAACTGACTCCACAAAGTTATCTTCATATGCTGTGGCATGAGGTCACATACAAAAAATTATGTATGTACAAACATCAAAGGTTCAAGTAAACATACAAGAAAGTACATGAGGATTTTTGTCTTCTGAGACTAGATTCCTTCACTTCATATAGTGTATTTTTCAGCTCCATCTATTTTCCTGCAAATTTCATTTTTCTTAACAGTTGAATAAAATTCCAGTGTGTGTGTGTGTGTGTGTGTGTGTGTGTGTGTGTGTGTGTGTGTGTGTGTGTGTGCGTCCGCGTGTGTGTGCGCGCGCGCGCGCCCGCATTGTTGTTATCCATTTTTCAACAGAATATGGACACATAGGTTGGCTTCATTTCCTTTCTGGTATGAGTACAGTAGCAGCAGTGAACATTATACACAGGTGTTTCTGTGGTATGATGTAGGGTCCTTTGGACATATTCCCAGGAGGATCATTAAAAAGATGTGTATAGCCAACAGGAATACCTAATGCTCTGTCTGCATACTGTGCTCCAGGTGGCCAATCTGAATCCTAAGGACCTCTCCTATACCTTAAAGGACTATGTGTTTAAGGAGCTCCAGCGAGACTGGCCGGGTTACAGTGAAACAGATAGACGGTCATTAGAGTCAGTGCTCTCTAGGTAAGTTCCTTTTTTCCCTTTTGTCTTTACAGATGATAAGTAATACACTACTCAGTGTTATTTTGGTGTTGAGGTGGGAAAAAGAAGCAGGGATAGTTTTCTGTTCTGTTCATTTCAGAGTAAAAAAAAAATGATGAAATTTAAGAACAACTTTGAAAATGTCATCACTTTTTTTTAGAAAAAAATAATAGAATTCTGTTTATGATGGATCTGAATGTTAATTTATATTTGCCTGGAAAATACGTTTCCTTTACAGAAAATTAAATCCATCTCAGAATGCTGGCACTAGCCGCTCAGAGTCTCCCATGTGTTCCAGCAAAGATTCTGCCTCATCTCCTCAGGTATGTCAGGAAGTTACAGAATCCCAGGCCTGCCTGCCCTGCAGTGCAGTAATTCAGTCTGATTTGTAGGTGAGGGAAGCTGTATAGATGACCTGCCCAGAACTAATTCATGGCCAATCTTTCAGTTTTGACCTCATTTAGAATGCTTTACACTGTGCTGCACTGCTTATCAAAGGGCTTGATGCATGCCTTGCATGCCACTTCTAAAATTTAAATTTATTGTAAAATTTTCTGCTTTGCACTTTGGTCCCTAACTGGAAGACACATAAAGTCCCATATAATTCTCATGTTATATCAGAGATTGAAGATATTTGATTTTATCTGAAATGTGTCTGGAAGAATATTCTTACAGAAAATATGTTTGGGGCACTTTCTAAATACATTGCCTTAAAGGTTTTTTTTTTTTTTTTTCAGTTTGACTGAAATCAGAAGGTGTCTCAGACTGTATTCTAGTTGAGAATCATCTCAGTGGGTCATCTCAGAGAGCTCTCCTGTCCTGAGTGCTTTGGCCCCATGGTGGCAGAGGCCTCTCTGCCCACCCCAGGATTCTAATACAGCACTTCCTCTCTCTGTATGCTACTCTGAAGATCTAGGGGAAAGCAGACAGATTGTGGGGAACACAGGCAAGAGGCTAGCTGTGTGTCAGAGTGTCAGATATCATCATGAGGAATGCAGCTGGAGGACAGATGAGTAGGTCCACCCTCAGGTGTCGGTTGTCTGTGGAGACTTAACTTTTAACACCAACCGCTGTGATCTGAATCTGCTCTGGCCAAATTACGTGCTGGATGCTAAAGTGAAAACAGGAATGAATTCATGGGTTAATTTATTTTCTTCTAAGTCCAATTGTTTTTAAAGATTTATTTATTTCATGTGCATTGGTGTTTTGCCTACACGTATGTCTGTGAGGGTATCAGATCCCCAGGAACTGGAGTTACAGACAGTTGTGAGCTGCCATGTAGATTCTGGGAATTGGATGCAGGTCCTCTGAAAAAAACAGCTAGTGCTCTTAACTGCTGAGCCATCTCTCCAGCCCCCAAACACAAAATATTTAACTGGCCTGTAATTTTATACTTTTCACTTGTTTATTTCCCTTCGTTATCTCTATAGTGTTATTGTGAATACTGGATTGAGCTAACATAACAAGATTTTTAAAGTGTACCAGACTCATTTTAATGAGCCAGTCTAAATAGACTTAGTTTACAACATTGTGAACATATGTTTACAGTGAAAAAAAAAATAAAATGGCATTTCAACAATGATAGCTATACTTAAAGAAATGAATGTAAAGATGAGCTAGTTCACAGTGTGATAATGACAGCCATCTGATAAGTGACAGCCAACATATTTACAACTGGAACACTTTAGCCAATTAGAGTCTGGGCACGTTGTCCTTTACCAGTCTAGGGGGTGCTCAGAGTCAGATGGTGCAAACTGCTTTCTCTTCTCACTTGCTAGGCCAGCTGCAGCTAGCATGGAGGGTGGTTGCTCCTATTTAGTGCTGTACGGGTAGTCTAGTGCACATAAATCACAACAATCTCTGGGGTGTAGGGTAGCCTGCAAGAACTGAAGTCACTATTTGGCACCATTCCCCTATTCTACTTTTGACAGAAGAACTAAAATTGGAATTTACATTTGGTTAGGAGTTCTTAAATGGCATTGAGGACTTCAATTTTTGAGTAAGCTTATAGTATGATGAGTAAGGCTGATCAGCTGTCAAATCTCATCCTTTCTCCCCCCACCCCAGAAACGACCTTTGGACTCAGATTTCATCGATCCTCTAATGAACAAAAAAGCTCGAATATCTCACCTGACAAACAGAGTCCCACCAACACTAAATGGCCATTTGAATCCCACCAATGAGAAATCTCCTGCAGGCCTCCTACCACCCCCTGCAGCTGCAGCCATCCCTACACCCTCACCGCTGCCTTCAACCCACCTTCCTGTCTCAAATCCTCCTCAGACTGTAAACTCCAACTCCAACTCCCCTAGCACTCCAGAAGGCCGGGGGACTCAAGACCTACCTATTGACAGTTTTAGTCCAAATGGTAGCATCTTTGAGGACCAGCAAGACAAATATACCTCTAGGACTTGTCTGGAAACATTACCCCCTGGCTCAGTTCTGCTAAAGTGTCCAAAGCCTATGGAAGAAAACCACCCAGTGTCTCACAAAAAGTCCAAAAAGAAGTCTAAAAAACACAAGGAAAAGGACCAAATAAAAAAACACGACATTGAGACAGTGGAGGAAAAAGAAGAAGACCTTCAGAGAGAGGAAACTGCCAAGCTGAGGAACTCCAGTCCGAAACCCAGTGAAGGTATTTTACATTTGTTTAAACAAAAAAACAAAATGCTTTCTGTGTTTCATAAACTGGAAGAACATGAGCTGTAGATGAAGCTCCTTAGAATAATGCTTTTTAAGCAAATGATCATCTATTGAATTAATATTAATAATGTGTATTGTAGCACATCGTTTTCTTCCACCTTGTAGCTATCACTTCAGTGTCTCTTTACCAAGTATGAAACATGATTTCTTTAGGTAGATTTATAATGGCATTTTAGAATGACTTCATTCTTCAAAGACTCTGCTTTGGCACTTTTTCCTTCTCTATCATATTTTGCAACCTCAGTGTAACAAGTACATGCCATTCTTGACCTGATTTAAACAGATACACAATAGGCAATAGAAATACCCATTTCCTCCTTTTTGAGAAACCAGAGATAATCCTGCTATAATTAATATTGTCACAGAAAGACTGCCACATTCTTTGTAAAATAGTCAAGCTACATCTTGTCATTTGCAATGAAAGTAGTTTGCTTCACGAGGTGCCTGGCTATTATTAGCTTGATAGAGATTAAGGGTATTTTTGTTAGTAAACTGACATCACTTGTTATTCTTTATCTCGCTCATAACTCTGAAGGCCTAAAATCCTGAGGTTTAACTGACCGTTTCTGCCAAATGGAAGAAGCTTTCATTATTTTCACCTCATGAAATTTGCAGAGGAGAGTTACAGTAAGATATAGTTGACGCAGATTGGGTGGATTGCATAGCAAAACATATCTCTTGAAGTGTGTAGATAAGCATAATAGTAGTAGATAATGACCCAAGTATAAGGTCTTTACCCCCCATCCACACTACTCTTTGTACTTGAATTTGTCAAGTCAGGATAAACGGAGAAGTAAAATTTCATGTTTAGATTTAATAAGCCAGATTTCCTGGGCACCCTCTCCTTTCCACCCTTCCACCCTTAGAGGGTGATTCTGAGTTATTCTAGTAGCAGTAGATCTCCGTGTGCCAAGACTACCAGAGGAACGTGTGTGTTTTGGGGTTAGAGACCTGGATAAACTGTCTTTAAATCCTTCTTTTGCAGTATGTAGGAAAACTTTTCAGAACCAAGTATGGTCATCACAAGTGGAAGACAAATCCAGACCCACATCTCTGTACCCATTAGAACTAGCCTGCCAGCTATGGCAGGAAGGAGGATTCTGTACCTGATGCTCTTCCTTGAAGACTTGGGCTCTTGTGGCCATGCCTGAGTCAAATCTATTAAGTGAACAATAAGCCCACTGAGTCTATGTCATTTGTTTAGTGTATTTTATCTTTCAGAAGACTGAGAAATTGTCAGATAATTCACATTTGTTCTATAGTAAACATATTTTGCCAGCAAATTAGAGTTTGAATTATTAAGTGTACTTTGTTTTAAAAAAAAATAACCTTAATAATATGTTTAAACATAGCCCCTGGAAGTTGTATGTTAAACAGTGTAATACTAAGAATTTACTCACTTTTAACAGTATAGCCATGAGTAACTACAACAGTTTTTACTGTTTTCCCTAAATCATAGGTAAAAGAGGAACAAATCCACATTTACTAATTCTTTGTTGTGAACTGCTGGAAAGCTTCCTTCCTATCCAGTCCACTGTCTGGCTACAGAAAGGGTGGCAGTAAAAATAGTGACCCAAACAGGCTGCTACCTGACTTTGTTATTTCTCCTGCCTTGTTTGAAGCTCATGAAAAGTAGGTGTTAATGTAAAATTAGTATCTCTCATTGTCTGGCTACATCTGCCACCACAGGCTTTGAATTGCTAGGCAGATGCCACACTGTTGGTGGAAGAATGGAAGCTTGACCTTGGGTTAAGATGGAATTCCTTTACTGTGCAGACATTGTAGTAGCCAGGGTGAGTTAAATGCCTGGTGTTAAATGCTCTGCTGGCACTGGGCACAGCCTCCATTGTTTGTGTCCCATTGTATTCCTTGCTTGCTGTTGCTTTTTGAGGTGGAAGAAAAGAATTTGAGGAAAAGGTTCCAGATGTTTCTAATCTGTTTTAAAGTGAGAGGCATTTGATAACCATACTCATTGATGAACGCTCTGATTTTTTCCCTTCATAGGAGTTAAAGAAGGTTGCACTGCCTCCATGGAGCCTTCTTCAACAATTGAACTCCCAGATTATTTGGTGTAAGTTTTCCATCTGCCAATGGAGAGAGCTATTTAATTTTAGAAAGTTTGCAAATTCTTTTCCCATAATTTGCAAATCAAAAAAGTAAGAAATTCCAGAAATAGAGTCCTGAAGCCACCTCTGCATTTGAAAGGCTGCCATTAAGCCTGCTGTCCCCAATCCACCACTGTGCCTCCCCTGCTCAGAGCAATGTTCCATGGTTTTAAGTATAGAGACTCTTGTCTTGGTTGCAGGGTCAGGCTGAGCATAATAGCCTTTAAAACTGACAGTCCATCAATGTGCAGCCCCTAGAGGGGCCCAGAGAGCTACAGAGGGCTTGAACCTCTGCACTGAATATTACAGAGCAGGCATAGCTTCCTTTTTATGTAAGCAAAGGTCTTTTGCTCAAATTAATTTTAAGAGGAAAAAAATAGTAAAGTTAGATCATTTCACTTTAGTAACAGGTATGTGTTTTTCTTGTGACAACAAGTTGGTAAATGCTGAGCTGGGAATGTTTTTGTAACCTGCTTATCACAGAAATTATAACTTGGACATATAATTCTTGCTTTTTCATGCAATAAAAGGCTTCTGTAAGAAGAAAATAATTGATTTGCAGGTGCCTGGAAAAGTGGAATATGGAAGAGCAAAAAGCTCTGATGGCAGATAGCTTTCAAAATGAAACAAATTTGCAGAATAGGTACAACATGGAACATGAAGATATAATCTGAGCTGTCTGCACATGTTTTTCTGTTAGTGCCACCTCATAGTGGGCAGAGTGAGATGATGCTTTTAACCTTGCTTCTTGCAGAAGAGAAAACAGTTCAGATTTACAGAGTTGTCACTTCTGCTTAATACCAGTGTGAGAGCTATAGTTTCTGGAGAATGAGAAACTATGGTGCTAATTATCACCGCTCAGCTAACATTAGCCTGAGGAGCCTCCCTAAGTACTCTGCCATCTGAGATAGTGTAGCAGCTTCCACACAGGAGCAGCCAGCCATTCAAAACAGCCCTGCAGACCCATTGCTGAGGGTTTGGCTCCTTAGACTCGGGAAAGTTGAGCCCTGGAGTAGCACACCATTCTCCTGTGATAGATTTTAAATCCTTTTATTAATAGTGATATGTATGTATGTATGTATGTATGTATGTATGTATGTATGTATGTATGTATGTATGTATGTATGTATGTATGTATGTATGTATGTATGTATGTATGTATGTATGTATGTATGTATGTATGTATGTATGTATGTATGTATGTATGTATGTATGTATGTATGTATGTATGTATGTATGTATGTATGTATGTATGTATGTATGTATGTATGTATGTATGTATGTATGTATGTATGTATGTATGTATGTATGTATCCTAAAACTTCTGCCATAGACTTGCCAACTTAACCGGCTAACTCTATTTAAGAAGTGTTTCGGGTTAGTCCTAATGTGCTAATGCAGTCTTTCAGCAGGAAACTATCACCTTAAGTGTTGATCCTCTGCCTCAGTAAATCCTTGTGCATTTGTCACATTTCTAGGGCTTTTGTTATATGCTTAATTGGCTCTAATAAAAGCAATATATTTTACCCAAACTAAAAATGAAGTTTTAACCAACCAATACAGCTAGTTTCTAAAAGTAACAAGAACATTTCCAAAACACGGAGCTTAAGTTAACTCATAAGAAAACTAAAAGGAAACTCATTAAGAAACCTCCACAATCAGCCTTTGAATAATTCATATGTAACCCCAATGTTACAAATTTTTATATACTGAGTGCTTTTCTTGCTTATGGTTGTTTTAGCCTATATTTGTGCATTTTTACTCTGTCACCTCCTTAAAAACCAACTGCAAAGTCATAAGAATGTTTACAATTTTGATTGTTAAAATGCCAGTATCAAACAGCTATATAATTATTGACCTAGTTGCTATTTTTCCTTAACAAAGTTATTAAATAAAATACGAAAGGTCAGATTTTTAGAAAGTGAAATAAATGCACTATACAGTGACTTAAAACTGAATTTCAGCTTATTCTTTATTTATACATGCTTATTCCCAGGAACCTCATGGACTGTCAGGGGGCTTCCTCCAGGGTGCTGTAAGGTAGCATGTCTGGGGAGGGCGGCTCCCATGTGGCTGGCAGTGTTCCTTTTGCAGCTGAGGCCACCAGGGCAGCTTAAATCGGCACACTACTCCCATCTCAGTTACACTCGAAGACCCAACCTCCACGCTGTCTAACTCAGCAGAAATAAAAGCATTAATGAGGACGCTGAGTTTGCACACCGAATCACTTTTCTCACTTTCCCAGGAAGGCATCTGTGATCCAGCAATTTAAATAAAACCAGTAGGATTATAGAAAACCATCTGGAGAGGCCCAGTTCCAAGATGTTACCACCATAAGGCCCAAGTGTGCACCTCAGGATGCATGCTGCAGCCCCCACCAGCTGCCTAATCTCAGTTTTTATCCAAAATAATCAAGGAAATTGGACCTTCCATGGCAGAAAAATAGAGGGCAAAAAAAGAAGGTCGACTGTGAACTAATGATACTGCTTGTTTTCCTGTTAAAATGATTTTATAACTGATTTACTGCAGAATCACCTGGCATGTTGTGAAGGTGGCCTTCACTTACAAGGTTCTAGGGACTAGTCACAGATTTGTGGCATTCTGTTAAGACAGTAAATTAGACTAAGCAGTGCAACGCTGGCCTTCTGTTGTGTAAGTATAATTTTGTGTTGGAAAGTGCTAGAGGAATCCTCTCTGTGTGGCGATGCATACCTGTAATCTTAGCACTCAGAAAGGAGAAGTAGGAAGATGGAAATTTCAAGGCCAGCCTCAACTAAATGGTAAATAGAGGCCAGCCTGGGCAATATGAGTCTCCAAAAACCCAAAACAGAGATCTAGAGAGATGGCTCAGTGGTTAAGAGCATTTACTGCTCCTTAAGAAGACTAAGGTTCAGTTCTTAGCATCCATAGTAAGTGGCTTATAGCTGTCTGAGTCCAGTTGAAGGTGATATAATGCCCTATTCTAGATTCCATGGGGCATCAGGCACACACATACATGCAGGCACCCACGTGTACACATATTAAATAAATCTTTCTTTATCCACAAGTGGGGATAAAAACTAGAGAGACTTTCTTTGGTAGAGGGGCCTCACTCACTGTCCAAAAAAAGAAAAAACAATCTTAAATTTGTATAGTTAGATACATCAGGAAAGGAATGAGAGAGCAAACAAAGCCCCTTGTTGAAGTTTCTGCTTGTCACAGGTCTAAAAGACACCTCCTCTCACAAAGCAGGGGTGCTAAGCCAGCTTTGACTTGAGTGTTCTGTGGCTGGGTGGCACTCTCCTGTTGTCATGTTAGCCGTCAATTACTTCTGTTTGAGATGACTGCTAACAGAGGCTTGGTCTCCTCCACTCCATTTATCGGGGAAAGGTTATAGAAGCAAGTCTGAAAGAACACTTCATTTTATGTGGCTCCCTTTGAATGTGCCACTGAGATCTCTTTCCACATTCATTCTCCGTGAACACTCTTGAGGCCTGCTATCTGAGTGACCTGGCAAGAAACCAGAGACAGTGACATTAAGTTACTGGAGACACATGCAAGAGGGTGGCGTATCAGACTCTTGCCACCATGCTTATTCTTTCTCTCCATTTATTCTGTTTCTCTCTTCTTTATTATTAGAAAATATATTGCTATTGTCTCCTATGAGCAACGCCAGAATTACAAGGATGACTTCAATGCTGAGTATGATGAGTACAGAGCTTTGCATGCCAGGATGGAGACTGTAGCCAGGAGATTTATTAAACTGGATGCACAACGAAAACGCCTTTCTCCAGGTTCAAAAGAGTACCAGGTAGATGGACATGTTCTTAGATGGGCTGATTTTCATTTCTTACCTCCCCTACTAGCCATTCAACTAGCCTTAGAGCAAGCTGTCTAGCAGATCTGCCTCCCTACAGCTTTAGGAAACAAATGTTCTTGAAGTAGTTCTTAAATAAGTCAGGAGGTGGGGGTACTCCTCTATAATACAGAATGTATTGTGAAACATACAAAACAAAACTAAGTAGGGTGAGTTTTCTGCAATGGTAAGAGACACCAGTGTGCTACATTCTAGTAACTTAAACCACTATTGTGATTCCTGGTCTCATTAAATTTAGAAGAAATCTTAAAAGTTATTGAGTAATTAAATATAGCACTATATCTTGCTTTTAAGCATAGTATCAAACTCCCCCTATTATTTTGTACGTTGATTTTTTTGACTAGTACAATGCTTCATAGACAATTTTTACATTATCCCAGAAAGCACCTGTGTTTGTTTGTATGTTTGTACTGTCCTCATGGTATCCCTTGTATAGCCCTAAGAGCATTCCCATAGTATGGATTGTCTTTTGCTGGACAGAGCTGCTAGCCTTGTATCTGTCTGAATCATAAGCTCAGGCAGGTAGACCTGAAGAACTTTTAGAATTGCTGAGTCAAATTTTGCATTTGCTATTTTGATAGCTGCTGCCAAATTGCCTTCCATAAAAATGTCCCAAGTTACATCTCATCGATATTTCCCCAACCTTGCCAGATGCCTGTTAGGTACTGTACTGCCCCCACCCCAAGGCCTTCTCTTCTCATTTCTAATTTTTAATTTTGCAGAATGTTCATGAAGAAGTCTTACAAGAATATCAGAAGATCAAGCAGGTGGGTATCAGCACTGTGCCGTCTGGCCTGCAGTGAGAAGCACTGTAGATTCTGTGACCTAATTCTTCACTGTTTTCTTTGTCTGCAGTCCAGTCCCAATTACCATGAAGAAAAATACAGATGCGAGTATCTTCATAACAAGCTGGCTCACATCAAAAGACTAATAGGTGAATTTGACCAACAGCAAGCAGAGTCATGGCACTAGAACTCTGCTTGGACCAGAAGATGTGAATAAAACTTAAACTTATTTATTTAAAATTCCAGATGAGTTGCTTTAGATTCTAAATGATGAAACTTTGCTTGTTAGAAGTTTCAGTATTAGTAAACTTGAGTTACTTTTTTTTTTTTTCTTTCTCTTCATTCTACTTTGCTTCCCTGAATTTTGAAGCTGCTTTCTTTTTCTGGTCCTTCCGCACCCCCAAACTTGTTTGTTAATAGAAGCAGTTTTTTAGATATTGGGGATCCAGTGTCTATACTTCAAATCAATTTTTCCTTGAAAACTTGTGTTTGTCATTAGAGGTGATTTCGATTCTTTTTTTTTTTTTTTGTATCAGGGATGCAATGTCCACACTTAAGAGTTGCTTGTGTTTAAAAACAAAACAGTAATGTGCAAAGTGAAATGCTTTTCCTAAGCCTATTTTCTGACCTTTCTTAATGCAAACTGTTTGCCTTAAATGGTAGAATATTTAGATATTTGCACAAAATTCAAAAAAATCAAAACATTGTTTTGGAGGGTTGAAAAATGGAAATATTGTTTGAATATGTGTATAGTTTTCTATGCACATACATACATACATGCGCACGCGCACACACACACACACACACACACACACACACACACACACACACACACACACACACACACAGGGCTGACTGGCTCTAGAGTGTTAGTCCTGCCCTGCAAGTTAAACCCCCCATTGCAATGGCTGCCTTAAGGTGTTTGCTAATTGTGTACATTGTGTGGTTAATCAGTAGCTGCACTGCTCCCCTGTGCTGATAGCCACGGGGAGCACACTGTGGCCTACAAGCGTCAGAACACGTGTGTGTGTGTGTGTGTGTGTGTGTGTGTGTGTGTGTGTGTGTGTGTGTGTGTGTGTGTGTGTGTGTGTTCAGCTTGTGTGTCTGCAGAACTGATGTGGGTGTGAGCTGCAGGAAGGTAAAAAGCTGCTACTCAGTAGGCTGGACGCTCAGGTTAAACAACTAATGAGTGGTACAGCAGGTTGTTGGTAATGTTTGTTTGTTTCTGTTAAATTGCTACTTCTATTGTGGAAGACAGAAGCATTTCCATTTCAACAGTTTGTCAGCTTTATTAATGTTGGGCAAAAAATTGATATGTTATAAAAATGAAATAGATCTATAGTTTTGGGGCAAATGATAAAATTAAATGTGTAGGTAACCTATTTATATACTGCTATAAAGTATTTTTGAAGAGAGATATGCAAAGAAGCTATTACCTACATCAGATGTATATTTAAAGATTTTTTTTTCATCCTGGATACCAGGAATATTAAAAAAAAAAAAAGTAGATATATTTAACCATAACATACTGTGATTCATCAAACAGCACAAACTTTCATTTCATGGAGTTTATCTGTTATTGTTGATTTAAACTATCTCTTGTCTTATCATGTGGGAACATAAGTTATGTGGTCAAAATATAAGGATTTTGAACTAATGTTGATTCAGGTTGTGTTGTCTTGTATCGTCTTTTCAAAGTGCTGCCAGTTGAAAAGGGAAGCATTATGTTTACAAATCTGTTTTGAAATGTTTGCCAAAATTTTGGTAGTATCTTTAATAAAGATGTTTGTCTCCAGCATCCAAACAAAAGTGAATAACTTTGTCATGTGTCACTGTAAACTAAAAAATGTTAGTATTGAGGTCGTGTAACAGAATATGTTGATTAACTCTCTTCTCGGGAGTTACATTAACTGAAACATTACCTGGAAAGATTAGCTAATGTATAGAAATACAGAGGCCTTCTAACCACTGAGAAAAGAGTCTGCAATTCAGACATCATTGCACAAATTTCATTTATGTGTAGCATGGTCCTTCTAGAGAATTCCATTGAGATACCTGGTGCTTGTTTGCCTTGGTATTGATACACTCACTATTAAATGTTAGTTTATCTCCAACTTTTGAGTTTGAAGCTTAGTTGTGGCTAAATTGGGGCCTCACATTACCATAGTAGGGTCTCCTGAGGGACATATGGAGTCTATAGGTAATGACTGGTGGGCCTTTTAATCAAAGGTTGTTGCTGTTATTTGCTATTTGCTATGTTTCTCAAAAGTGTGCTTCTTAAATGGTTTGCATTACCCATACTAGAGTTTCTTGGTAGGGGCTAGGGATCTTCATTTTCCCAAGTTTTCTCAAGTGACACTTGCAGGCTGATGTGTAATGTTTGTTCGGTTGGCTTGGGTGTAGCTCTAAATTTTAAGTCCCAAATCTTGAAATTTTGAACTTACAGACTTCATCTTTAGCAGATACCCAGTTTAGATTAGGCAGAAGATTACCCCAGCTGAGTCTGTACACTAGTTTTCTGAGGAAATAGTACAGGAGAAAGAAAAGGCCTTAGTTGAGCCCTGGCATTAAAAACCTTCAATTACTGTGCCAGCAATGACTCTGGTTAAGTTTACAAGGATGCTCAAAGGTAAAAATGAGGGCCCTGAAGTCATCATTTTGTCAGCATCTCAGCATCAGCAAACATCTAACTTTGTGCTTACTTCTTGTCCTCAGCCCTAAAGTAAAGCTGTGGTGAAAGTTTCAATACAAAAAACTTTTGAGAATTCAACCAAAAGTAGCCACCTAAATTAGGTCATTGAATATCTGCCCAATGCAGGTAATGTTTGTGGAAACATTGCTTTCCAGGGAGAGTAAATGCATTTTGACTGACTGCAAAGGGGGCAAGGCAGAGATAGGCTTGAAGTTCAGAGGAGGAATGTTCGGGGTTTGTTGATACTGCTCTTCTGGTTTTACCATTCAGAGATTGCACTGGGAGGACAGCAGTGGCTGCAGGTGGCTCTGACATTTTATGATTGCCTAATTCTCAAGTTGAGAATCCAATAAAATGTCATGTTCAACTTCTGTGTGCCTGATTCAACTGACCCACCAGGCTGGTTCTTCCTACTAAGATTAGATTATTGGTATAACATGGGAACTTGCAAATGAACACTAAGTCCTCCCTGTCTAGGTCTATGAAATACAGGAGAGAGCTTCCTGAAGATGAGCCCACATGATTAGCTGGTGTGTTTGATTAGCCAGCCTAGGACTTCTTGCCTGTCCTTCACAGTTGATGATTTCCCCAGTGGGTTTACAGCTAATGGTCATGGTACATGGTTGCTATACTCTGCCTCACCACTCTCACTTCCTGCTGTCTGTTACTAATGGTTCCTCCCATCCCAAGGCCATGCTAAACAAACACTGTACCACTAGCTCTAAACTCCACTTCCTCACTCTGCTGAGTCCTCACCCTGATGCGCTCTGTTTGACCTTCCACACTGATACATGCGCTCTTGATTCTGTGTTCCTCCTTCATGGCACTCAGTCACCATTACAACTGGATACCATTTGTATTCTTAAGTTCCAACATAATGGAGACTGTCTTGTTTGTTCCAGAATCCTCAGCCTCTGACATCGGGCTGGCATAGAGATGGTGCTCACTAATGTGTACTGGAAGAATGAGCAAGGCAGACTCTTCACAGAGGTCATATTTAACACTGAAGTGGAAAGGATATGGATTGGTGAACTGAGACATTCAAGTGGCTGTGCCCTGCTGCTCCCTTCTCAAAGCTGGGATGTAGGAATGTAGGCAGTGGTCACAGTGGCGGATTACTGCCTGTGACACTTTCCTTTTGCTGTGATTAACTGGACAGTTCCATAGGGGACATCTCTTTCCAATATCAGTGTTCATACCTCTAGTTTCCTTTGGAATCTGAAATGGTTTTGAACTATTTTTTTTCCATTGGACACAACTTGCATATAGGTTCTGATTTCATTTTCTGAATTTTTAAATTATGTTTTACATATTTTTTATTTATTTATTATGTATACAACATTCTGCTTCCAGAAGAGGGCACCAGATCTCATAACGGATGGTTGTGAGCCACCAAGTGGTTGCTGGGAATTGAACTCAGGACCTCTGGAAGAGCAGCCAGTGCTCTTAACCTCTGAGCCATCTCTCCAGCCCCTATTTTTGACATATTTATGTGTGTATGTGCACATGTAGCAGTCAAAGGACAGCTTTGAAGAGTCATTTCTCTCCTTTCCTTCCTCTCAGTTGTCAAGGATGTGGTAGAAGATAACGGTCTAAAATTGGTATACCAATTTCCAGCTTAATCACAGCATCTCTAGAAATGTTTCTTTAAATTCAATACATGCTTTTGTTGATATTTATTTCATGTTTAGCACTTGCTGAGCCTTCCAAGTGGTTGACACTCTGAGGATAATAGAAGGACTCTGGTGTTTATGTAAGGGCAAAGATAGTGGAGCCCACCAGTCGCATTTCACTCTAAACTGCCTTCATTTTATAATAGATAAAGCTTGTTGGCAGCACATGGCAGAGCTCCCAGGTAGGGGAGCAGCCACTGCTAGAAACTGGCACAGAGACAAGAGGTAGTAAAGTGCCAAACAAGCACAGGCATTGGCTACAGTGGTGCAGAGCATGGAGTTAAGTTAAATGGGGTGGCCTTTTTCACAAGCCACAGATTGTGGCCAAGTGAAAAAGGTACTCTGCCCTCAGCCTTCGAGTGGGATAGATACTTTGGGGGATGTTAGGGTAATATATATGTAAATTTTCTCTACGAGTTTTATTGAGTATTTGAGAATTATTCGTTTCCATCATGTATTTGTATGTGCAAAGCCTTGCAGGAGTTTCAATGCACAACCCCACTGAATTCATTCAAAGATTGTCATGATGGTAACTGAGCTTGTGTGGTAGACACATACACAATGCAGAGTATTTTAAAGGCTCTGGTCCTAATTTCCAAGTACCACATTAACTTAGCACCATGACTCCCAGTAACTTACACATGGTGTTGGTGTGCATTTGCTCCAAACTTCAGCGAAACTGAATCTTTTCCAATTCCAGTTATCTTTATAAAGGACAGGGCTGTGTGTGTGTGTGTGTTTTTTTTTCTATTTTAAAGCCATACTTTATGTATAGGTGTGTGTGTGTGTTTTTTTTTCTATTTTAAAGCCATACTTTATGTATAGCAATCCAATTTACATATTAAATGACTGTAACTGAAATGCTTTTATTTACTTTTAAGTAGATTTTTTTTAGGCCAAGGTGGCCTTGAACTCGGAGATCCTCCTGCCTCTGCCTCTGCCTCCTGAGAGCTGGGACTAAAGGTGTGCACTACCACTGCCCAGCTTAAGTAGAATTTTAAGTCACTTTTTGGGGTCTAGAGAGATTGCTCAGCAGTTGAGAACACTTGCTGTTCTTACAAAGGATCCCAGGTCAAGAGGCTCATAACTACATGAAACTCCAGTTCCAGGGGAGCAAGTGTCCTTCTCTGGTCTCTATGAGTACATATGTGATACACAGGGATATATATATACAAGCACTCACATATACACAAACCATTTTTAATAGTCATTTTTTCTGAGTGACTTGAGTCTCATTCTCATTGTACTGATGGCCAAAAAATTTACAACTTTCACAAAAAGGACAGAGATTAAAAGAGCCTTTTGTTTGTAAGCCTAGTGATTTCTTACCACCTCCTTGTAGAGGGTCCTTGAGAGGGTTCATCATAGGAAAGACACTTTCCGCTGGGAAAACAACTCCTTGTACCATCAGGCTCCTCCTCTCAAGAACAGAGTTCATTTAAATCAGACTTGCCTAAGGAGAATAGAGAGGGTCTCCAGGGGTCTTATGAACACCTGGACTCTGCAGCCAAGAACAGCTGTAAGGGGACACTAGGGACTGCTGGCATGCCACTCCGACATCCACCCTCATCCTTCCCTTCTCTCTTGCTGTTGATAAGCCTCTATTGCTGTAGGAGCCAATTACCACCTCCCACCTGCTCCTGCTTTCTCTTGAATGCATCTCCATTCTGTTCATATGCATATCTTAATATTAATGATTTGTCTTTGACTACAGATAAAGGCCACCAGCTCAGAAACAGGGACCGCAAAGCAGCACACCAAAAGCTTGGTGGCAGTTGAAATGTTACATCTTGCTGTGAATCTCAATTCTGGAATTGCCAACATGTGACCCAGAGCAATTTGCCTCAACTCTGTTACGATTTGGGATGGATTAGCAAAGACTGCTGCACTGAACTAGAGTGACTGACTACTATAATCATAAAGCAACATTATTGTTCTCACATCTTCTCCTGTAAGCTGCCTTCAGAGATGAAGTTGTGGCAGGTCCCATAATTTCTACAGAGTGGCTACTCAGTCTTATAGTATAGGTCTCATTTCAGAACTTTATAAATCCAGTCTTGTATGATAGCCAAAACTCTGCAGTGTGTTTAAAGTTAAGAGCCTCTCTCTTCCAAATCCAGATTGCTTTAGGCTAACAGCCACGTACTTTTTGCCATCCCCCTCTTAACTGTTCAGCTTGCAGCAGCATGAAAGGAAAGAGCAGGTACGTGGGGGCCATTGGGCAAGATAGGTCTTGGATTGGCACCTTTGAAATTGGCCTTGGTTTCCTCCAGAGGCTGTCAAGTCTTTGGCATCTCAGATCTTTCTGTGGCCTCTAGCTGCTGGCCAAGTCCCTCCTTTGTCTAGCCTTGGCAGTCCCCATTCCCTCTTCCTCAGCCCCATCCATCTTCCTCTCATAGGATATCTTTGGCTTTGGGGGTAGGAAACTAGACTTCTAGGGCACTTTAGC